GGGATGGGAATGGGAGGAGGATGGGATCAGACGGGGATGGGAATGGGAGAGGATGGGATCAGACGGGGATGGGAACGGGAGGAGGATGGGATCAGACGGGATGGGAATGGGGGTGGAGAGGTGATGGGGATCGGGTTGGGAAGGGGAGGGCATGGGGTGGGATTGGGATGGGGACGGGAGGGGCTGGAGCAGGGAGAGGGCGGGTACCCGTGTGGGCAGCACATCCCCCGTCCCTGGCACATCCCGCCCCGCCGAGGGGGCCGTGGGGCTCTGGGGTCCCAGGGCCTCGCCAGCGTCTCCCCCAGGAGGGGAGGACTCGGGAAGGGGAAAGGGCGGATTTGGGGGGGCCCGGCACCCCCTGACACCCCCCCCCTGTGCGGCGCAACGGGACAGAGGGAGCGCGGGCGGGTGCTGCTGCTGCAGGGTCGTGTTTGTCCGTCTGTCACAGGTGGGCTCTGTCACCCACATGTCCACGGCCCCTAATCCATCGCGTCCATCATCACGGGGGCCCGGAATTCCGAGTGCTTCACCCCGAAGGTCACCCCTTGGCGCCGGACCTGCGGGGGGGACAGGGGCAGGGTGACGGGGGGGGGGGCTGTGGGTAACCCTGTCCCCCAGAACCTTCCCCCGGCGGGGTCCCTGTCCCCGCTCACCTGCGGGGGGCTGTAGTCGCTGGGGCCGGGGGTGGCGGCGGCCTTGGGGGGTTCCGTGCGCCCCACGATGGTGCAGCGGGGGGAGCGGGGTAGGAACACGTCACTCCTCACTGGGGCGTAGTGGCTGGGGCCGGGGGACTGCGGGGACAGGGGGGAGTGATGTGAGCCCCGGACCCCTGGCACCACACACCCCTGGCACCCCAGAGCCCTGCACCCGCAGCACCCCACAGCCTTGGTATCGCAGCCCCCCGGCCCCCCAGACCCTTGGTACCCCATATCCCTGGACCCACAGCACCACACAGCCTTGGTATCCCAGATTCCTGGCCCTCCGGGCCCCTGGGACCTCACACCCTTGGTACCCCTGCCCCTTGGATCCCTGGCACTCCACACCCTTGGTACCTCAACCCCCGGACCCCTGGTACCCCAAGCCCTTGGCATCCTGAGCCCCCCAGCCCTCTGGACTCTTGATCCCCTGGTTCTGCAGCAGCCCAGCCCACACAGCCCCCCAGCACCCTGAGCACCCCAGACCCCCATCCCCTGATCCATCCAGAGCCTGGGCACCCAACCCCCCAGATGCCCAGAACCCCGGACCCTTGGCACCCCGGACCAACAACCCCTTGACACCCCGGACCCACAGCCCCTTGGCACCCCGGCTCCTCCATCCCCCAGACCCAGCCCCGACCCCACCCCGGCCCCCCCACCCTGTTCAGGTTGCCGAAGGAGCCGGGGCCACGCCCCACGATGAAGCAGGTGGGGGCCGAGGGCTTGTCCACCAGGCGGGGGCCCAGCACGGTGGGCAGGCGGTAGGCGGCCGGGCCTGGGGGGGCACAGGGCTCAGGGGGGCACGGGCTGCCCTCCCCCGGGGGTGGGGAGGGAGGGCTCAGCCCGGGAATGGGGCTCAGCCCAACACAGGGATGATGGGGAGCCCAGTCTGCCTCAGGGGGAGGGGGGAGCAGCTCAAGGGGAGTCACAGTCTAGGGGGGATGATGGGGGTCCCAGCCCAGAGGGAATGATGGGCATCCCACCCCAGAGGGGATGATGGGGGTCCTGGCCCAAGGAGGAGATGGGGGTCCCAGCCCAGGAATAATGAGGGGTCCCAGGGCAACCCAGGAAGAGATGATGGGGGTCCCAGTCCAAGGGGGAGATGCGGGTCCCACCCAAGATGGGATGATGTGGATCCCAGTTCAGCCCAGACAGAGGTTATGGAGTCCCAGCCTGGGCATGATGAGGATTCCAGCCCAGACGGGATGATGTGGGTCCCAGTCCAGCCCATCCCATCCCGGGGAGGCCGCTGGGGGTCCCATCCCTGCTCCCCTCTCTTACCTGGAGTCTCCTGCGCTCCGGACTCGCGGGGGCGGGAGCGCAGGAAGCAGGTGGGTGCGTTGGGATAGGCCCACTTGTCCGCCCGCTCCGGGGAATAATGCGCTGGGGGGGGACGGGGGGGTGAGCCGTGGGCACGGCCGGGGGGTCCCCGGCCCCGGCGGGTGTCCCGGCCCCCGCTCACCTGGCCCGGGGGTCTTGCTGGCCATCTCTGCGCGGGGGCGGCCGCAGATGGTGTGTGCGGGGATGCCGTCCTTGCCGCGGTGGGTGAAGCCGGGCCGCACCAGGTACTGGGGCCCGGGGGAGCGGTTCTCCTGCTCCGCCGGCAGCCGCAGCCCGAAGGTGTAGGCGGGGGCGCGGCTCCGGGTGGGGTCGTGCTGGTTGTAACCTGGGGGTGCGCGGGGGCTCAGTGGGACGCGGGACCCCCGGCCCCGGGGCAGCGCCCCGGCCCCCCGAGCCCCCCCCGCGCCCCCCACTCACCGACGTTGCCGGGGAGCCCGTACTTGGGGCCGGGGGTGCGGTACTGGGCGGAGATGGGCCCTCGGGGGCGGTGGGGTCTCCAGGAGCCCACCCAGCCGTCTTCGGACATGGCGAGTCCCGATGGAAGCTCCCCCTCCTCAGCCTGGCCCCCCGCCTGGCCCCCTCGGGGGGAGATGTGGGTGCCAGAGCCCAGCTGCCCACGGCGGGCGCTGTGGCAGCAGCGGTGCCGGCGTGCGGTGGTGGCACCGGCACCGTGGCGAGTGTGGCGCGGCGGTGGCACCGGCACCGGCGCCGCCGGCGCGGTGGCCGCGGTGTCACAATGGCCCGGGGCTTCCAGGGCTCCATCCTCCCCCGGCACCGCCGTGCTCAGCACCCCGGGGCGGCAGCGCCGGGAACCGCAGGGAAGGAACACCGGGAACCGCGTGGATACAGCCCCGGCACCTCAGGGATACAGCCCCGGTACCTCAGGGATACAGTCCCGGCATCGCACGGATAAACTCCCAGCACCCCATGGATACACCCCGGCACCCCATGGATGCAGCCCCCAGCATCCCGCGAATACAGCCTCGGTATCCCATGGATGCAGCCTCAGCACTCCGTGGATACACCCCTCGGATACACCCCCAGCACCCCATGAACGCAGCCCCGGCATCCGATGGATGCAGCACCCAGCAACCCATGGATAAACTCCCAGCACCCCATGGATACAGCCCATGGATACACCCCCAGCACCCCATGGATACAGTCCGTGGATACACCCCATGGATACCACCCCAGCACCCCACGGATACACCCCATGGATACACCCCCAGCACCCCGTAGATACACCCCACGGATACACCCCATGGATACACCCCCAGCACCCCATAGGTACAGCCCATGGATACCCCAAGGATACAGCCCACGGATACAGCCCCTGCACCCAATCCATGAGCCACCCAGCACCCCCGGCTGCCCCCCGGCACCGCAGGGAGTCCCCAGGCCGGGGTCGTTCCCGGGGGGGCTGCAGCCCCTCATCTCCCCCCGCCCCACCCCGTCCCTGCGGCACCGGCACAAACCGCGCCGGGAGGGGGGACACGGGGACGGGGGGACACGGAGGGGACACAAGGACACGGGGAGAGGGGGCGGGGGCTGCCTGGGACCCCCCGAGCGTGGCTGAGACCCCGTGGGGCTGCCGGGGACACCCCCGGGACAGGCTGGGACCCTACGGGGAACGGCTGGGACCCCCAGGGCGCTGTCTTGGGGGCACCCCCCCTTTTCTCAAGGACACCCCTTCCCTTGGGGCCACCTTCTGCTCCGGGACACCCCCTGCCCTGGGGACACCCTCGGCTGTGCCCCCTCCCCTCCCATCACCCCGCGGGGATCCCCGTCCCCCGGGGGTGTCACCCCCGCCCGCGGGGCACAGACACGGCGGAGGGAGACGGGGGGTCACGGGTGCTTCGGCCGCTTTATTGGGGGGTCCCCGTGTCGGGAGGGTCTGGGGGGGCTCGGGTGTGTGTGCGTGAGGGGAGGGGAGCGCAGGGGGGTGCGGGGTGTGAGGGGTGCGGGGCAGTGTGGGGGTCCGCGCCGTGCAGGGGGGTGCGGGGTCGGGGTGCAGTGAGGGGTGTGGGATGTGGGGGTTTGGGGGGGGTGTGGGGTGCGGGGGGGGGGGTGGGGGGTCTGGGGCTGCAGGGTGGGATGGGTGCAGGGGGGTGTGGGGGGGCAGTGGGCTGTGGGGTCTGGAAACTGGGGTGCAGGACAGGGTGTTGGGGTCCAGGGGTTGGGGGGAGCAGGATGAGGGGTCGGGGTGCGGGGCGGGAGTCTGAGGGCTGGGGGGCAGGATGTGGGGTTGGGGTGCAGGGGTTGAGGTGGGGGACAGGATGCAGTGTTGGGGGACAGGACACAGGGTTGGAAGGCAGGACGTGGGGTTGGGGGTGCAGGGTTGGGGAGCAGGGGTTGTTCTGGAGTTTGGGGAGCAGGATGTGGGGTTGGGGTGCAGGGGTCGGGGTGTGGGGCAGGAGTCCGGGGTTTGTGGGGCAGGAGGTGGGGTTAGGGGCCAGTGTTGGTGTGCAGGGATTGTGTTCTGGGGGCTGGAGGGCAGGAGGTGGGATTGGAGTGCAGGATTGGGGTGTGGGGCGGGGGTCTGAAGTTGGGGGGCGGGGTTAGGGGGCAGGACATGGGGTTGGGGTGCAGGGTTGGGGTGCAGGTGTCCTGTCCTGGGGCCGGGGGGGCAGGACGTGGGGTTGGGGGCAGGATTGGGGTGTGGGGCAGGGGTCTGGGGTCTGGGGGGCAGGGTCGGGGGGCAGCCCCCAGAGCCGGGGGGCCGCACCCGGGGTGCAGCCTCCTCGTCCCCCTACGCCGCGTATTTGCAGACGAAGGGTTTGCGCTCGACGCAGGACTCGCCCTCCCAGGCCATGAACCCTGCGGGGGAAACGCAGCCAGTGCTGGGAGCCGGGACCCCCCCGGGCTCCCCTGATCCCCTCCAACCTCCCTGAGCCCCCTCGACCTCCCTCCCGCCCCTCTGGATCCCCCTCATCAGCCACGTTCTCCAGCACAGCCCAGGGCTGTCCTGCGGGGCCGTTGTCCCCATCCCTCCCCCGTCCCAGGACCCCCCGGACCCCCCGACCCTCCCAGACCCCTCTGACCCCCCCGGTCCCCCCTGACCAGCCGAGCCCTCGGGCACAGTGCGGGGCTCTCCCACGGGACCGTCACCCCCGGCCCGGACCCCGGGACCCCCCGACCCCCCGACCCCCTGTCCCCCCTCACCAGCCGAGTCCTCCAGGGCCGCGCAGGGCTGTCCCACGGGGCCGGGCCCGGGACCATCGTCCCCTTCCCAGGCCCAGTAACGCCGAGGGGACCCGTCAGCCCAGAGCCACGACTGGCGCTGGAAGAGCAGAGTCAGGACGGGGGGACAGGGGGGTGGAGGGGACAGCACGGGTGGCAGTGCAGGCAGGTGCAGGCAGGAGCAGGGACAGTGGGGCAGGAACAGCACGGGTGGCAGTGCAGGCAGGAGCAGGCAGGGGGTGGACAGGAGGCATCAGGGCAGGGCAGGCAGTGCAGGTACCACGGGAGACAGCACAGGTGCCACTGCAGGCAGCACAGGGAGCACTGCAGGCAGGGCAGGCAAGTATAGCCAAGTGCAGGCAGGTACAGCCAAGTGCAGGTAGGTGCAGGCAGGTACAGATATGTGCACACGGGTACAGGCAGCTACAGTGAGTGCAGACAGGTTCAGTCAGGTACAGGCAGGTAGAGGCAGGTACAGACAAGTACAGACAGTACAGACAGGTACAGGCGGTACAGGCAGGTACAGGCAGGTACAGGCGGTACAGGCAGGTACAGGCAGGTACAGGCGGGTACAGACAGCACAGGCAGGTACAGGTAGGTACAGGCAATACAGACATGTGCAGGCAGGGGTGCAGACAGGTGCAGACAGTACAGGCAGGTACAGGCAGTACAGACACGTGCAGGCAGGTACAGACAGGTACA